CCCACACAGCCAAGCAATTCTCTGACGCCAGCTGGATATACTACAATTCAGCTTAATTCTGACACTATCTAGCAGCAGATCCCACAGGTTAGGGGCTCAGTCCTTCAAGACTGCCCATCCCCCTTACCCCCATACTTCAGAGGTCAGTTGAAAGTCTAGGTTGTCACCTGCACTTCTGACCAAACAGCTATAGATTGGAGGCTCCCACGACCTCCTCCTCCGGTTTGATTAATTTGCTAAAGCAGTCACAGAAATTCAGCTTAGAGAAACATTTTACTTATTAGATTACCACTTTATTATGAAAGAATATAACTCTGGAACAGCCAGATGGAAGAGATGCATAAGGCCAGGTATGTGGGAAGAGGCTGCAGGGCTTCCACGCTGAGTGTTTCACCTCTCCAGGCGTTCACCAACCTGGAAGCTCTCTGAACCGCTGCTCTTTGGGTTTTGATGGAGGTATCGCTACATAGGCGTGATTGATTAAATCATTGGCCATTAGGGATCAATTCAACCTCCAGTCCCTCTCCCCCATCTTTAGGCTCCAAGTCACTCATTAACATGAACTCAGGTGTGGTTAAAAGAAGTTTGTTATGAATATCAAGAAAACCTTTAGCTGTCTTATCATTTAGGAAATTCCAAGGGTTTTGGAGCTCTGTGTCTGGAACATGGATGAAGAACAAATACGTATTTCTTATAAATCACAATATCACACCTAGGCAAGTTACCCTATCATTCTTCCAAGGACTTTAAAAATTCTCTCCAATCTAAACCTGACCATTTCAAGCAGAAGACCTTGCTTATTAATGCAGGGAGGAAAGACATGCCATCAGAAAGGCACTCCTTCAACTACTTGTCATCAAAACTACAAATTGCCTGCATCTACACCCATCCTCCTTACCACATGGAAAAGCTATCCCTCCTCGTATTCTTCTCCTGTGCTCACCAGACTATCCTGTGCTCACCATGCCATCAGCTTGTTCTGCATAATTGGGAACCTTGCATCATCAATTATGCCGTTTCCACAATATTTTCAACTTCTCCCATCCTACCAGCTTCTTCCCATTGATAGTTAGACACTCCCAATCTCTC